CACCTGTACAGTTAAATCTTTTGGACATCAGCGCAACCTTGAGGGAATCTTTGAGTCAGAAAAGGATGTTCATATGATAGGGAAGATCTCCAAAACCTTGCAGACGACATATCCAACTGACAAATCTCTTTAGAATAAAATATCAACTATTGGAACCAAGACTTAAAAAGACTGATGTTGGCACAAGATGGAGGGAATGTTGGCGCATAACTGACGAAATTACAGTTAACAAAAAATGTGTGTGTAAACTTCCGACTTTCAACTGTATGTTTACGTTGCCATAGCAAGTGAAATAAACATTAAACAAAAGTGGAAGAAACAAATTTATGATAATAATTAACAGTAAGCATTGCACTCAAAGGTTTCAGGTTTTATATTATCGGCTATGTACAGTGTTTTAGCATGTGCAATAGTTGTAGTATGAATAATGGGGGGAAGATAAATAAACAGTAAAATATTGGCGGTATTTACAATGTTGTTTGTGCTCCACTGGTTGCCCTTTTCTCATGGCAACGGGCCACAAATCTTGCGGTATTTTTCCTAACAGATATGGGAGTTTATCAATGTTTGATTTTTTTTTTTTTAAATTCTTTGTGGGTCTGTGATCTGTAGGAAATGTGATCCCCCTGAGGGAAAATGTGACGTTTCTGACACCAGAGCTCAAGTCACCACAAGCTGTCAGCAATGTGTGTGTGTGTGTGTGTGTGTGTGTGTGTGTGTTGGTTGGTTGTCGCCTCCTTGTTTGAGGGTCCAAAGGTGACAGAGCTGATCAACTGTCAGACGGACGGACAGACACATGCGCGTTACGCACACACACTTCAACTGTAAACAATGTAAGCAGTGTAACAGGAACAGGAAGTGGTTGAGCAAGCTAAGGGGCAGAGGTTGCCCTCAACCATAGATCTAGGATTATTTTCTCCTAACCTTAACCCATTGGTATTCAAATTTTTTCAGCAGGGACCACATTTCTTTTCTTGTAATAATTTATCGTGACCCCTACCCACCCCAAACCTAATGACACAACCTTAAAATCGGTACAGTTCTATTTTTGCATCAACAAATATCCTGCAATTTATAAAATGTTCATCTCTTATCAAAATGAAAAGAAACCAATAAATAAGTTTACTCAATAAAGTTATTTCTCAAAAAACGTTTGTATATTTTCCCGTACAATAATCGGTACTCTTGATATTTTTTTTTATCCCGCAGGAGTTATCATATTAAGGCTATGTGAGAGGTTATAGACCTACAGTCAGTGTCCAGATTTCAGCTAATATTCCATTTAACCCATCTGAACAGTTCAGTTCCCTGGATTGTGCCCATTTTTTTGGGCAGTCACCCATCTTGTGACTGTCGAATATAGCGCCTCGCTATCATCCTCTTTACCCCTTCTCAAACAAAACTTCACCAAGTCCTTGTCCCAAACATGACTTTTCTGACCCTCTTTATCTTCAACTCTCCTTTGCAAACCTTTTTTCTTATTGAATTAATTAATCCCACATCGTCCTTTTTGCCTCAGTGGATCGACATTAACTTTTTTTTAGAGGTAAGTGCTGGGTTTGGGTAAAGTCTGTGTGTATGTTGTTAACGTGTCGTTAACTGGTTGTATGTTCTATACCTTATGGATCCGCGCAGTCCGAGATGTGTTGGGTTTTGGGTAAACTCAAGCCGAGGGGGGGCGTTGTCGTTGGAGGGGGAAAGCTGAGTACACGGTCGTCCACGGCAAACGACCTGGTCAATGTAATCCTTCCTCAACTTCCAGGCCAAAAACCCTTTACCTAAACCCTTCTCTCTCTCCCCCTTCCTCCCCATCCCCCCTCATCTTCCCCCCCTACCTCCCTCCTTATCTTCCTTTCTTCCCCCCTTTTCCCCCAAACCCTCCCCTCTATCCTCCCCCTTTCCCCTCATCCATCCCTCCCCCTTTCCTCCCCCTCTCTCTCTCACCCTTTCATCCTTCCTCCCCTCCATCCACCCTCTCATCTCTCCCCCTCCCCTTATCCATCCCTCCTCTTTCCCTCCCCTTCACCACCCCTCCCCATCTCTCTCCTCCCCTCTCATCCATCCCTCCTTCTCCTCTCCCCTTTTGTCCCCCCCTCCTCTCCCCTCCTTCCTTGTCCCTTCCTTCTTCTCTTTTTCCTCCCTCCTTTTTACTCTTTTTCACCTTCTCCTCCCCTTTTATTTCTCCTTCTTCTCTCTCCTCCCTCTCCCTCTCCTTCCTTTCCTTCCTTTTCTCTCTCTTTTTTATTACTGAGCCCCACCTTTTCCCTGTTGGTTCACTCCTCCTTTCTCTCATTCTCTTAATCTCTCTTCTCCTTCCTTCCTCCTTCACTGTCTCTGTTCTCCCCTTCTGTCTGCGTCCCAAATGGCACCCTGTTCCCTACATAGTGCACTATAGGCTCTGGTCAAAAGTAGTGCACTACATAGGGAATAGGGTGCCATTTGGGACACAGCCTCTGGTTGTGTTCTTTATGATATTGAGTCTGTGGTGTGTGTGTGTGTGTGTGTGTGTGTGTGTGTGGTTATGGTGGTATTACGGTTATGATTGTAAGTGCTGATCGTGTGTGTATCGCTGTTTTTTATGAATCATTGTTAACTCTGTGTGTGTGTGTGTGTGTGTGTTCAGGTGTGGACAGATGAGCTGTTTAAACTGGCCACAAACATTCTGTCCCAGAATGCATCTCGCAACACCTTCCTCCTCAAAGCGTAAGTCATGTGTACAGTGCCTTGCAAAAGTATTCATCCCCCTTGGCATTTTTCCTATTTTGTTGCAACCTGTAATTTAAATGGATTTTTATTTGGATTTCATGTAATGGACATACACAAAATAGTCCAAATTGTTGAAGTGAAATGAAAAAAATATCTTGTTTCAAAAAATTCTAAACAATAAATAACGGAAAAGTGGTGCGTGCATATGTATTCACCCCCTTTGCTATGAAGCCCCTAAATAGATCTGGTGCAACCAATTACCTTCAGAAGTCACATACATAGAGGTGGACTTTATTTAACTAAGTGTCACATGATCTGTCACATGATCTCCGTATATATACACCTGTTCTGAAAGGCCCCAGAGTCTGCAACACCACTAAGCAAGGGGCACCACCAAGCAAGCAGCACCATGAAGACCAAGCAACTCTCCAAACAGGTCAGGGACAAAGTTGTGGAGAAGTACAGATCAGGGTTGGGTTATAAAAAAATATCAGAAACTTTGAACATCCCACGGAGCACCATTAAATCCATTATTAAAAAATGGAAAGAATATGGCACCATAACAAACCTGCCAAGAGAGGGCCACCCACCAAAACTCACGGACCAGGCAAGGAGGGCATTAATCAGAGAGGCAACAAAGACACCAAAGATAACCCTGAAGGAGCTGCAAAGCTCCACAGCGGAGATTGGAGTATCTGTCCATAGGACCACTTTAAGCCGTACACCACAGAGCTGGGCTTTATGGGAGAGTGGCCAGAAAAAAGCCATTGCTTAAAGAAAAAAATAAGCAAACACGTTTGGTGTTCGCCAAATGGCATGTGGGAGACTCCCCAAACATATGGAAGAAGGTACTCTGGTCAGATTAGACTAAAATTGAGCTTTTTGGCCATCAAGGAAAACGCTATGTCTGGCACAAACCCAACACCTCTCATTACCCCGAGAACACCATCCCCACAGTGAAGCATGGTGGTGGCAGCATCATGCTGTGGGGATGTTTTTCATCGGCAGGGACTGGGAAACCGGTCAGAATTGAAGGAATGATGGATGGGTCTTAATACAGGGAAATTCTTGCGGGAAACCTGTTTGTCTTCCAGAGATTTGAGACTGGGACGGAGGTTCACCTTCCAGCAGGACAATGACCCTAAGCATACTGCTAAAGCAACACTAGAGTGGTTTAAGGGGAAACATTTACATGTCTTGGAATGGCCTAGTCAAAGCCCAGACCTCAATCCAATTGAGAATCTGTGGTATGACTTAAAGATTGCTGTACACCAGCGGAACCCATCCAACTTGAAGGAGCTGGAGCAGTTTTGCCTTGAAGAATGGGCAAAAATCCCAGTGGCTAGATGTGCCAAGCTTATAGCGACATACCACAAGAGACTTGCAGCTGTAATTGCTACAAAAGGTGGCTCTACAAAGTATTGACTTTGGGGGGGTGAATAGTATGCACGCTCAAGTGTTTTTAGTTTTTTTTTTTTACAATAAATAACATGTTGTGTAAATCAAATGATACAAACCCCCCCAAAATCAATTTGAATTCCAGGTTGTAAGGCAACAAAATAGGAAAAATGCCAAGGGGGGTGAATACTGTCGCTAGTGTGTGTATCTTATTCATACAGTATTCTACCCACAGTGCAAGTTATTTGATGATCTCACTCTCTCATCTCTCATCTCTCATCTCTCATCTCTCATCTCTCATCTCTCATCTCTCATCTCTCTCTCTCTCTCTCTCTCTCTCTCTCTCTCTCTCTCGCTCTCTTAGGTACACCAAGTTAAAGTTGCAGGTGAATCAAGATGGAAAGATTCCAGTGAAGAAGTGAGAGAGACACACATACTTCTGCTGTTCCTGACAGAGCTACCTCCTTTCCCAGTTTCACTTTCTCCCTCTCTTTCTCTTTCCTTCTCATTACTTCTCTTTCTCTCTCTCGCTCTCTCTCTCTCTCTCTCTCTCTCTCTCTCGCTCTCGCTCTCGCTCTCGCTCTCGCTCTCGCTCTCTCGCACTCATTTCAGTGTAATTAGCCAATGTAATGGTTGGTTTCCAAACTAAATGAAACATGGTTAGGTCAACTTTGTTATTACACCCAATTTAGTTTGAAAGAGTAAGATGGAATCTAAAGATAGCACATTCTCTCTCTCTCTCCCTCCATCTCAATTTCAATTCATTTTAAATGCTTTTATTGGCATGACAAAACCTTATTGTGTTGCCAAAACAACAATGTTGAACAATCCTCTCTTCATCTCTCCCTCCACCTCTCTCTCTCTCTCTCAGCATTCTCAAGATGTTTTCTGATAAGAAGAGAGTGGAGACAGCACTGGAACAGTGTGGTCTGGTCAGCAACAGGGTAATCAATCAGTCAACCTATCGATATATAATCAATCATTTCCCTGTCTGTCACAGATATCCATTACATCGTAACGGATCCTTAATGCTTCATTTACCCAGAGTCATCAATACCATAATCTAAAACATAATATATCTTTAACATCATTTGATAAAACAATAAATGCATGTATAGTGCTGATCTAGTATCAGGTAATTCATTATGATCTAAAAGGTCAATCTGTTCCTAGATCGGCACTCTTTCTGTGAGATGCTGTATGAATACGGGCCTTGGTGTATGAACTGGTTTTCAGGGCAGCATGTGAACTGCTGAGAGCTGTGCAGAGTCAGGTTCAAAGGTCAAAGTTCATCTTCTGTTTTCCTCCGTAACTAGGTGGTGTCCCCTTACCGTTGACCTCTGTCCATTTCTCCCTACACACACACACACACACACACACACACACACACACACACACACACACACACACACACACACACACACACCAGTGCCTTGGCAACATAGTGTGTTGCCCTGGTAACTGTTGGCCAGTCTTAGCAGGCCTGTGTATGTGTGTTATTGTCCTATTCTGCCCCCTGCTGGTAGGACTGGTAAACTGACTGGTAAAGAGCAACTGCCCCTAAAAACCAACTTCTCATTTAGAAAACAGCCTGTGTGGCGTCGATATGACAGATCGTTTTATTCTACTGTCAAAATTGAATACAAAGTGTAAATTGGATAATTTTGGTCATAAAGTAAAGTCTCGTCCAAAACCAGAGTTTTGTGAGATTTGTGGTCGTGACTGCATTACAACGCACATTTTTATTTTTTTATTTTATTTAACCTTTATTTAACCAGGTAAGCCAGTTGAGAACAAGTTCTCATTTACAACTGCGACCTGGCCAAGATAAAGCAAAGCAGTGCGATTAAAAACAACAACACAGAGTTACATATGGGGTAAAACAAAACATAAAGTCAAAAATACAACAGAAAATATATATACAGTGTGTGCAAATGTAGCAAGTTATGGAGGTAAGGCAATAAATAGGCCATAGTGCAATAATTACAATTAGTATTAACACTGGAATGATAGATGTGCAAGAGATGATGTGCAAATAGAGATACTGGGGTGCAAATGAGCAAAAATAAATAACAATATAGGGATGAGGTAGTTGGGTGGGCTAATTTCAGATGGGCTGTGTACAGGCGCAGTGATCGGTAAGGTGCTCTGACAACTGATGCTTAAAGTTAGTGAGGGAGATAAGAGTCTCCAGCTTCAGAGATTTTTGCAATTCGTTCCAGTCATTGGCAGCAGAGAACTGGAAGGAATGGCGGCCAAAGGAGGTGTTGGCTTTGGGGATGACCAGTGAGATATACCTGCTGGAGCGCATACTACGGGTGGGTGTTGCTATGGTGACCAATGAGCTAAGATAAGGCGGGGATTTTCCTAGCAGTGATTTATAGATGGCCTGGAGCCAGTGGGTTTGGCGACGAATATGTAGTGAGGACCAGCCAACAAGAGCGTACAGGTCACAGTGGTGGGTAGTATATGGGGCTTTGGAGACAAAACGGATGGCACTGTGATAGACTACATCCAATTTGCTGAGTAGAGTGTTGGAGGCTATTTTGTAAATGACATCGCCGAAGTCAAGGATCGGTAGGATAGTCAGTTTTACGAGGGCATGTTTGGCAGCATGAGTGAAGGAGGCTTTGTTGCGAAATAGGAAACCAATTCTAGATTTAACTTTGGATTGGAGATTCTTAATGTGAGTCTGGAAGGAGAGTTTACAGTCTAACCAGACACCTAGGTATTTTTAGTTGTCCACATACTCTAGGTCAGACCCGTCGAGAGTAGTGATTCTAGTCGGGTGGGCGGGTGCCAGCAGCGTTCGATTGAAGAGCATGCATTTAGTTTTACTAGTGTTTAAGAGCAGTTGGAGGCTACTGAAAGAGTGTTGTATGGCATTGAAGCTTGTTTGGAGGTTTGTTAACACAGTTTCCAATGAAGGGCCAGATGTATACAAAATGGTGTCGTCTGCGTAGAAGTGGATCTGAGAGTCACCAGCAGCAAGAGCGACATCATTGATATACACAGAGAATAGAGTCGGCCCAAGAATTGAACAATGTGGCATTAATGTTGGGTTCCCTTCAATCCGGGCCCACATGCCACAGCTGGCAGCACACAAGTAATCATCAATTCAGAGTGCAGCTGCACGTGACCCGAGCGTAATGCCTGTGGTAAATTTGGGTTGACTTTGGATATCCCTGTGGGACTAGTTAGGGACCATTGGTAAATTACACAGTGTACATGGGACAATATGTCCAATAGTCTATAAATTGTAGAAATTCATATACAAATATTGAAAGCATTGCATGATAACTGAAAGGTGTACAACATGTAAATATTGTCTCATTTACATTGTGTAATTTATTGACGGTCCCTAACTATCCCCGGCGATAGGCTGTCCAAAGTCAAACCAATTTTGCCATGGTCGCAAACCAGCCGGCTGAAGCTAATTGCCGAAAATAATTTGTCTAACTCTTCCCACCTGCGAACACACACAAAACACCTGCATCAAATCACACCCTGAAACCAACTGACGTTTTAATTGAGTCATGGCCGCTAGCATTTCTTAATGAACCAAATCTAAAACGAGGCCAGAATCAGGAAGTGCAATTGCCCTTTAAGGCTTCTACACATTTATCTACAGTACCAGTCAAAAGTTTGGACACACCTACTCATTCCAGTGTTTTTCTTTATTTTTACTATTTTCTACATTGTAGAATAATAGTGAAGACATCAAAACTATGAAATGACACATATGGAATCATGTAGTAACCAAAACAGTGTTAAACAAATCAAAATATATTTTATATTTGAGATTCTTCAAAGTAGCCACCCTTTGCCTTGATGACAGCTTTGCACACTCTTGGAATTCTCTCAACCAGCTTGATGAGGTAGTCACCTGGAATGCATTTCAATTAACAGGTGTGCCTTCTTAAAAGTTAATTTGTGGAATTTCTTTGCTTAATTCGTTTCAGCCAATCAGTTGTGTTGTGACAAGGGTAGGGTTTGTATACAGAAGATAGCCCTATTTGGTAAAAGGCCAAGTCCATATTATGGCAAGAACAGCTCAAATAAGCAAAGAGAAATGACAGTCCATCATTGCTTTAAGACATGAAGGTCAGTCAATACGGAACATTTCAATAACTTTTAAAGTTTCTTCAAGTGCAGTTGCAAAAACCATCAAGCGCTATGATGAAACTGGCTCTCATGAGGACCGCCACAGGAAAGGAAGACCCAGAGTTACCTCTGCTGCAGAGGATAAGTTCATTAGAGTTAACTGCACCTCAGATTGCAGCCCAAATAAATGTTTCACAGAGTTCAAGTAGCCGACACATCTCAACATCAACTGTTCAGAGGAGACTGCGTGAATCAGGCCTTCATGGTCGAATTGCTGCAAAGAAACCATTACTAAAGGACACCAATAAGAAGAAGAGACTTGCTTGGGCCAAGAAATACGAGCAATGGACATTAGACCGGTGGAAATCTGTCCTTTGGTCTGATGAGTTTTTTGGATCCAACTGCCGTGTCTTTGTGAGACGCAGAGTAGGTGAACGGATGATCTCCGCATGTGTGGTTCCCACCGTGAAGCATGGAGCTGTGATGGTGTGGGGGTGCTTTGCTGGTGACATTGTCTGTGATTTATTTAGAATTCAAGGCACAATTAACCAGCATGGCTACCACAGGATTCTGCAGCAATATGCCATCCCATCTGTTTTGGGATTAGTGGGACTATCATTTGTTTTTCAACAGGACAATGACCCAACACACCTCCAGGCTGTGTAAGGGCTATTTGACCAAGAAGGAGAGTGATGGAGTGCTGCAACAGATGACCTGGCCTCCAAAATCACCCGACCTCAACCCAATTGAGATGGTTTGGGATGAGTTGGACTGCAGAGTGAAGGAAAAGCAGCCAACAAGTGCTCAGCATATGTGGGAACTCCTTCAAGACTGTTGGAAAATCATTCCAGTTGACTACCTCATGAAGCTGGTTGAGAGAATGCCAAGAGTATGCCAAGATTGTGAAAAGCTGTCATCAAGGCAAAGCGTGGCTACTTAGAAGAATCTCAAATATAAAATATATTTTGATTTAACACTTCTTTTGGTTACTACATGATTCCATATGTGTTATTTAATAGTTTTTGATGTCTTCACTATTATTCTACAATGTAGAAAATAGTCAAAATAAAGAAAAACCCTTGAATGAGTAGGTGTGTCCAAACTTTTGACTGGTACTGTAACTACAGCTGTGCATTAGGAACAGACTCCAGATCAGCCCTTACACTATCCCTGTTAACATATTGTATTATGTCTTCTCTAACAGCTGACTCCAGATCAGCCTTTACACTACCCATCCGTCTATGGACAGATGTTGAATGAATCGGTGTGTAGTGTGAAGGTCCGCTGGACACAGTTGCCCATAGTTCTGGACTAACCAACAGATCATCTATAGTTGGTTTGCTGTAGTTGGATGTGTAGAAGCCTTTCGACTGACACTCTTATCTCTTCACTCTCCCCCCCCTTATATCTCCCTTCCTCCTTTTCTCCACCCCCCCCCTCCACCTCTCCACTCCTCCATCCCTCTCTCCAGGCAGAGGGCATTAAGCCAGATGACTTTACATGTGAGATGTTCCATAGCTTCCTCGACAGTCTCTGTCTCCGACCTGAGATAGAACGCATCTTCGTAGAGATGTGAGTCACGCACGCACGCACATACACACACAAACTCATGAAAGCAAGCAAGCGCGCGCACACACACACACACACACACACACACACACACACACACACACACACACACACACACACACACACACACACACACACACATGCTTGAATGCACACACACACAGACAGTTACTTGCTGTATACACCCTCTCTCATAGTGCGACACATTATTACATCAAACAACGCAACAAACCATACCAACCTAATCTCTCTCTAAGCAACACTATGCCTGCTCTAGCAACCTAATCTCTCTATACCTGCTCTACCAACCTAATCTCTCTCTAACCAACACGATGCCTGCTCTACCAACCTAATCTCTCTCTATACCTGCTCTACCAACCTAATCTCTCTCTAAGCAACACTATGCCTGCTCTACCAACCTAATCTCCCTCCAACCAACACTATACATGCTCTACCAACCTAACCTCTCTCTAAGCAACACTATGCCTGCTCTACCAACCTAATCTCTCTCTATACCTGCTCTACCAACCTAATCTCTCTCTATACCTGCTCTACCAACCTAATCTCTCTCTATACCTGCTCTACCAACCTAATCTCTCTCTAACCAACACTATTCCTGCTCTACCAACCTAATCTCTCTCTATACCTGCTCTACCAACATAATCTCTCTCTATACCTGCTCTACCAACATAATCTCTCTCTATACCTGCTCTACCAACCTAATCTCTCTAACAACACGATGCCTGCTCTACCAACCTAATCTCTCTCTATACCTGCTCTACCAACATAATCTCTCTCTATACCTGCTCTACCAACCTAATCTCTCTCTATACCTGCTCTACCAACCTAATCTCTCTCTATACCTGCTCTACCAACCTAATCTCTCTCTCTACCTGCTCTACCAACCTAATCTCTCTCTAACCAACACTATTCATGCTCTACCAACCTAATCTCTCTCTATACCTGCTCTACCAACCTAATCTCTCTCTCTACCTGCTCTACCAACCTAATCTCTCTCTAACCAACACTATACCTGCTCTACCAACCTAATCTCTCTCTATACCTGCTCTACCAACCTAATCTCTCTCTAACCAACACTATACCTGCTCTACCAACCTAATCTCTCTCTAACCAACACTATACCTGCTCTACCAACCTAATCTCTCTCTATACCTGCTCTACCAACCTAATCTCTCTCTATACCTGCTCTACCAACCTAATCTCTCTCTATACCTGCTCTAGCAACCTAATCTCTCTCTATACCTGCTCTAGCAACCTAATCTCTCTCTATACCTGCTCTACCAACCTAATCTCTCTCTATACCTGCTCTACCAACCTAATCTCCCTCCAACCAACACTATGCCTGCTCTACCAACCTAATCTCTCTCTATACCTGCTCTACCAACCTAATCTCTCTCTATACCTGCTCTAGCAACCTAATCTCTCTCTATACCTGCTCTACCAACCTCTCTCTATACCTGCTCTACCAACCTAATCTCTCTCTATACCTGCTCTACCAACCTAATCTCCCTCCAACCAACACTATGCCTGCTCTACCAACCTAATCTCTCTCTATACCTGCTCTACCAACCTAATCTCTCTCTATACCTGCTCTACCAACCTAATCTCTCTCTAACCAACACAATTCCTGCTCTACCAACCTAATCTCTCTCTATACCTGCTCTACCAACATAATCTATCTCTATACCTGCTCTAGCAACCTAATCTCTCTCTATACCTGCTCTACCAACCTCTCTCTATACCTGCTCTACCAACCTAATCTCTCTCTATACCTGCTCTACCAACCTAATCTCCCTCCAACCAACACTATGCCTGCTCTACCAACCTAATCTCTCTCCATACCTGCTCTACCAACCTAATCTCTCTCTATACCTGCTCTACCAACCTAATCTCTCTCTAACCAACACAAGTCCTGCTCTACCAACCTAATCTCTCTCTATACCTGCTCTACCAACCTAATCTCTCTCTATACCTGCTCTACCAACCTAATCTCTCTCTAACCAACACAATTCCTGCTCTACCAACCTAATCTCTCTCTATACCTGCTCTACCAACATAATCTCTCTCTATACCTGCTCTACCAACATAATCTCTCTCTATACCTGCTCTACCAACCTAATCTCTCTCTATACCTGCTCTACCAACATAATCTCTCTCTATACCTGCTCTACCAACCTAATCTCTCTCCATACCTGCTCTACCAACAGAATCCCTCTCTATACCTGCTCTACCAACCTAATCTCTATCTATACCTGCTCTACCAACCTAATCTCTCTCCAACCAACACTATTCCTGCTCTACCAACCTAATCTCTATCTATACCTGCTCTACCAACCTAATCTCTTTCTAACCAACACTATGCCTGCTCTACCAACCTAATCTCTCTCTATACCTGCTCTACCAACATACTCTCTCTATATACCTGCTCTACCAACCTAATCTCTCTCTATACCTGCTCTACCAACCTAATCTCTCTCTATACATGCTCTACCAACCTAATCTCTTTCTAACCAACACTATGCCTGCTCTACCAACCTAATCTCTTTCTATACCTGCTCTACCAACCTAATCTCTCTATACCTGCTCTACCAACCTAATCTCTCTCTAACAACACGATGCCTGCTCTACCAACCTAATCTCTCTCTATACCTGCTCTACCAACAGAATCTCTCTCTAAACCTGCTCTACCAACCTAATCTCTCTCTATACCTGCTCTACCAACCTAATCTCTCTCCAACCAACACTATTCCTGCTCTACCAACCTAATCTCTTTCTATACCTGCTCTACCAACCTAATCTCTATCTATACCTGCTCTACCAACCTAATCTCTTTCTAACCAACACTATGCCTGCTCTACCAACCTAATCTCTCTATACCTGCTCTACCAACCTAATCTCTCTCTAACAACACGATGCCTGCTCTACCAACCTAATCTCTCTCTATACCTGCTCTACCAACCTAATCTCTCTCCAACCAACACTATTCCTGCTCTACCAACCTAATCTCTTTCTATACCTGCTCTACCAACCTAATCTCTATCTATACCTGCTCTACCAACCTAATCTCTTTCTAACCAACACTATGCCTGCTCTACCAACCTAATCTCTCTATACCTGCTCTACCAACCTAATCTCTCTCTAACAACACGATGCCTGCTCTACCAACCTAATCTCTCTCTATACCTGCTCTACCAACATAATCTCTCTATACCTGCTCTACCAACCTAATCTCTCTCTATACCTGCTCTACCAACCTAATCTCTCTCTAACTAACACTATTCCTGCTCTACCAACCTAATCTCTCTATACCTGCTCTACCAACATAATCTCTCTCTATACCTGCTCTACCAACCTAATCTCTCTCTAACCAACACTATTCCTGCTCTACCAACCTAATCTCTCTCCATACCTGCTCTACCAACAGAATCTCTCTCTAAACCTGCTCTACCAACCTAATCTCTCTCTATACCTGCTCTACCAACCTAATCTCTCTCCAACCAACACTATTCCTGCTCTACCAACCTAATCTCTATCTATACCTGCTCTACCAACCTAATCTCTTTCTAACCAACACTATGCCTGCTCTACCAACCTAATCTCTCTCTATACCTGCTCTACCAACATAATCTCTCTCTATACCTGCTCTACCAACCTAATCTCTCTCTAACCAACACTATTCCTGCTCTACCAACCTAATCTCTCTCTATACCTGCTCTACCAACATAATCTCTCTATACCTGCTCTACCAACCTAATCTCTCTCTATACCTGCTCTACCAACCTAATCTCTCTCTATACCTGCTCTACCAACCTAATCTCTCTCCAACCAACACTATTCCTGCTATACCAACCTAATCTCTTTCTATACCTGCTCTACCAACCTAATCTCTATCTATACCTGCTCTACCAACCTAATCTCTTTCTAACCAACACTATGCCTGCTCTACCAACCTAATCTCTCTATACCTGCTCTACCAACATAATCTCTCTATACCTGCTCTACCAACCTAATCTCTCTCTATACCTGCTCTACCAACCTAATCTCTCTCTAACCAACACTATTCCTGCTCTACCAACCTAATCTCTCTCTATACCTGCTCTACCACATAATCTCTCTCTATACCTGCTCTACCCAACCTAATCTCTCTCTAACCAACACTATTCCTGCTCTACCAAACCTAATCTCTCTCTAACCAACACTATTCCCTGCTCTACCAACCTAATCTCTCTCTATACCTGCTCTACCAACCTATCTCTCTCTCTAACCTGCTCTACCAACCTAATCTCTCTCTAACCCAACACAATTCCTGCTCTACCAACCTAATCTCTCTCTATACCTGCTCTACCAACATAATCTCTCTCTATACCTGCTGTACCAACCTAATCTCTCTCTATACCTGCTCTACCAACCTAATCTCTCTCTATACCTGCTCTACCAACCTAATCTCTCTCTATACCTGCTCTACCAACCTAATCTCTCTCTCTACCTGCTCTACCAACCTAATCTCTCTCTAACCAACACTATACCTGCTCTACCAACCTAATCTCTCTCTATACCTGCTCTACCAACCTAATCTCTCTCTAACCAACACTATACCTGCTCTACCAACCTAATCTCCCTCCAACCAACACTATGCCTGCTCTACCAACCTAATCTCTCTCTATACCTGCTCTACCAACCTAATCTCTCTCTAACCAACATTATGCCTGCTCCATCTCTCTCCATCCCTCCTCCCCCACCCTACCTTCCAGTGGTTCTAAGGGGAAGCCCTTCCTCTCCCTGGATCAGCTGACAGACTTTATAAACCGCCGTCAGAGAGACTCTCGTCTCAACGAGGTGCTGTACCCTCCGCTGAAGAGAGAGCAGATCAGACAACAGATGGAGAAATACCAGAGCAATGCCAGCCAGCTGGAGAGAGGTGAGTGGGGTGTAATGCCAGCCAGCTGGATAGAGGTGAGGGGGGGGGGGTGAGTTGGGGGGTCATATTGCCAGCCAGCTGGAGAGAGGTGAGGGGGGAGGGGGAGGGGGGTGTAATGCCAGCCAGCTGGATAGAGGTGAGGGGGGGTGAGAGTAATAGTGTGTGTTCATGATGATGATGGTCTTGGACCAATGATGTACTCCTGTACACTACTGTACATTGACTAAACCGGCACACTGGATCCTCTCTCTCCGACTCTATCTCCCCCTCTCTATCTCTTCCCTTCTCCTCCCCCTTCTCTCTCTCCACCCTCTCTCCCCCCTCACCTCTCTCTCCCCCACTTGCCCTTCCTCTCTCCCACTCGCACTCTCTCCACACATACTCCTATCGCTCAGTCCCCCACACTCTCTCTCTCTCTTCTTTCCCCCTCGTCTCTCCCCCTCATCTCTCTTCCCCCTCTCTCTTCCACACTTCTCTCGCTCTCCATCTCCCCCCTTCTCACCCTCTTCTCCCCCCTTGCGCTCTCTCTCTCCCACACTGCACTCTACTCCCCCCCTCTCTCGCACTCCTACTCTCCCCACTCGCTCTCTCTCCTCCTCTCCTTCTCCGCTCTCCCCCTCTCTCTCCTCTCTCCCCTCATCCTCTCTCCCTCTTCCCCCCTCTCTCTCCCTCTTCCCCCCTCTCTCTCCGTCTTCCCCCCCGCTCTCACCCTCTCTCCCCCCGCCCCTCTCTCCCCCCCGCCCTCTCTCCCCCGCCCTCTCTCTCCAGACCAGATCAGTCTGATGGGGTTCAGTAGGTATCTAGGGGGAGAGGAGAATACTGTCGTCCCTCCAGAGAGACTGGACATCATAGATGATATGAACCAACCCATGTCTCATTACTTTATCAACTCTTCACACAACACATACCTCACAGGTAGGTACACACACACACCTGACACACACACACACACACACCACACTGTTAAACACACTTAAATACCTCACAGGTAGGTACACACACACACACACACACACACACACACACACATAACACTGTTAAACACACATAAATACCTGACAGGTTAATACACACACACACACACATACATACAGGCATGCATGCATGCATGCATGCATACAATCTCAAAGGTACAAAGGTATTCACTCCCTCCTCTCCCAGTTGGTCAGTTGACAGGTCTGTCGTCAGTAGAGATGTATCGCCAGGTGTTGCTGACTGGCTGTCGCTGTATCGAGCTGGACTGTTGGAAGGGACGGCCGCAGGATGAAGAACCTTACATCACACACGGCTTCACCATGACCACTGAGATACCCTTCAAGGTGTGTGTGTGTGCGTGTGTACGTGTGTGTGTGTGTACTTCTACATCACACACAGCTTCACCATGACAACTGACATAACCTTGAAGGTTTAAACCCAGACAGCGTAAGTCTGAAATGACAACCTGCTGGTCCTCATAGTGTCCTCATAGTGTCCTCACATTGGAGTACATTGTTTATGATGTTCACCTGCCTAACATATTCTCTCTGTCTCTCTCTGTCTCTCTCTCGCCCTCTCTCTCTCTCTCTCTCTCTCTCTCTCTCTCTCTCTCTCTCTCTCTCTCTCTCTATCGCCCTCTCTCTCTCTCTCTCTGTCTCTCTCGCTCTCGCTCTCTGTCTCTCTCTCACACTCTCTCTCTCTCTGTCTCTCTCGCTCTGTGTCTCTCTCGCTCTCTGTCTCTCTCTCTCTCTCTCTCTCTCTCTCTCTCTCTCTCTCTCTCTCGCCCTCTATCGCCCTCTCTCTCTCTCCCTCTCTGTCTCTCTCGCTCTCTGTCTCTGTCGCTCTCTCGCTCTCTGTCTCTCTGTCTCTCTCTGTCTCTGTCTCTCTGTCTCTGTCTCTCTCGCTCGCTCTCTGTCTCTCTGTGTGTGTAGGAGGTGATTGAGGCGATAGCAGAAAGTGCGTTCAAGACCTCTCCCTATCCCCTCATCCTCTCCTTCGAAAACCACGTTGACTCGTGAGTGAAGCATTCTGGGTAGTGAGAAGGGAAATCCAAGAATATAGAGAACCTTCAATTCGAATGGCTTTATTGGCATGGGAAACATATGTTTACATTGCCAAAGCAAGTGTGCAATAAACAAGGGCAACAGTAGTAAACATTAAACTCACAGACGTTGTAAAAGAATATAGACATTTCAAATGTTATTGTTATCTCTGTCTCTCTCAGGGCTAAGCAGCAGGCCAAGATGGCGGAGTATTGTCGAAGTATCTTTGGAGACGCCCTCCTCATCGACCCTCTGGAGAAATACCCGGTGAGTCTGGGTTAGAGGTCAGGGTTGTCAAACTCAATTCCTGAAATGCTGAGTGTCTGCGGATTCTCGCTCCTCCCTTGTAATTGATTGATCAATTAATGTCACTGTTTACCTCATTGTCTAGGTATTATTTGGACATTGAATTGAAAGGAAACAAACTTATTAGCAGACAGAATCACGGCCCTGGCTTAGGGGGAGGTAAATGTTGGGTTGGAGTTACTGGAGTCAGTGGAGGCTGCTGTGGGGAGGACGGCTCATAATAATGGCTGGAACTGAGTGAATGGAACGGTATCAAACACATGGAAACCAGATGTTTAGCCTGGCGGGTAGGACCGTTGGGCCAGTAACCGAAAGGTTGCTGGATCGAATCCCCGAGCTGACAAGGCAAAAATATGTTGTTCTGCCCCTGAGCAAGGCACTGTTCCCCGGGCGCCGATGACGTGGATGTCAATTAAGGCAGCCCCCCCCCCCCCCCACCCCCCACACCTCTCTGATTCAGAGTGGTTAGGTTAAATGTGGAAGACACATTTCAGTTGAACGCCTTCAGTTGTACTGACGAGGTATCCCCATTTACCTTTCCCTTGAATGTATTTGAGACTATTCCACTCATGCCGCGCCAGCCATCACCACGAGCCCGTCCTTTCCAGTTAAGGTGCCACCAACCTCCTGTGCATTAGGAACACTACTGACTCCAGATCAGCCCTTACACTAGCCCTGTTTTAATGTATTGTATTGTGTCTTCTCTAACAGCTGACCCCAGCTCAGCCCTTACCATCGCCCCAGGAGCTGCTGGGTAAGATCTTGATCAAGAACAAGAAGAAGCACCACCACAGAGCGTCCACCGGGGGCAGTCTGAGGAGGAGGGCAGGAGACCCTGACAGTCTGGAGCATGCTTCACCTCTTAACGGTATACACTGTCTATACACACACACACTGGAGCATGCTTCACCTCTTAACGGTATACACTGTCTATAAACACACACACTGGAGCATGCTTCACCTGTTAACGGTATACACTGTCTATAAACACACACACTGGAGCATGCTTCACCTCTTAACGGTATACACTGTCTATAAACACACACACTGGAGCATGCTTCTCCTCTTAACGGTATACACTGTCTATAAACACACACACTGGAGCATGCTTCTCCTCTTAACGGTATACACTGTCTATAAACACACACACTGGAGCATGCTTCTCCTCTTAACGGTATACACTGTCTATAAACACACACACTGGAGCATGCTTCACCTCTTAACGGTATACACTGTCTATAAACACACACACTGGAGCATGCTTCACCTGTTAACGGTATACACTGTCTATAAACACACACACTGGAGCATGCTTCACCTCTTAACGGTATACACTGTCTATACACACACACACTGGAGCATGCTTCACCTCTTAACAGTATACACTGTCTATACACACACACTGGAGCATGCTTCACCTCTTAACGGTATACACTGTCTATAAACACACACACTGGAGCATGCTTCACCTCTTAACGGTATACACTGTCTATAAACACACACACACTGGAGCATGCTTCACCTCTTAACGGTATACACTGTCTATACACACACACACTGGAGCATGCTTCACCTCTTAACGGTATACACTGTCTATAAACACACACACTGGAGCATGCTTCACCTCTTAACGGTATACACTGTCTATAAACACACACACTGGAGCATGCTTCACCTCTTAACGGTATACACTGTCTATAAACACACACACTGGAGCATGCTTCACCTCTTAACGGTATACACTGTCTATACACACACACACTGGAGCATGCTTCACCTCTTAACGGTATACACTGTCTATAAACACACACACTGGAGCATGCTTCACCTCTTAACGGTATACACTGTCTATACACACACACTGGAGCATGCTTCACCTCTTAACGGTATACACTGTCTATAAACACACACACTGGAACATGCTTCACCTCTTAACGGTATACACTGTCTATACACACACACTGGAGCATGCTTCACCTCTTAACGGTATACACTGTCTATACACACACACACACTGGAGCATGCTTCACCTCTTAACGGTATACACTGTCTATAAACACACACACTGGAGCATGCTTCACCTCTTAACGGTATACACTCTATACACACACACACTGGAGCATGCTTCACCTCTTAACGGTATACACTGTCTATACACACACACACAGGAACAGGCTTCACCTGTTAACGGTATACACTGTCTATACACACACACACTGGAGCATGCTTCACCTCTTAACGGTATACACTGTCTATAAACACACACACTGGAGCATGCTTCACCTGTTAACGGTATACACTGTCTATAAACACACACACTGGAGCATGCTTCACCTCTTAACGGTATACACTGTCTATAAACACACACACTGGAGCATGCTTCACCTCTTAACGGTATACACTGTCTATAAACACACACACTGGAGCATGCTTCTCCTCTTAACGGTATACACTGTCTATATACACACACTGGAGCATGCTTCACCTCTTAACGGTATACACTGTCTATACACACACACACTGGAGCATGCTTCACCTCTTAACGGTATACACTGTCTATACACACACACACAGGAACAGGCTTCACCTGTTAACGGTATAGATACACACGCGTGTAAAGTAAGTATGGACACACACCTACACACACCTACACACACTTCCACAGGTATTATGTTGGGACTTTTCCTCTAGTGGTAAACAGTATACAGTGCATTCGGAAAGTATTCAGACCCCTTCTCTTTTTCCACTTTTTGTTACGTTACAGCCTTATTCTAAAATGGATTAAATAAATAAAAAAATCCTCATCAATCTACACACAATACCCCATAATGACAATACCCCATAATGACAATACCCCATAATGACAATACCCCATAATGACAATACCCCATAATGAAAATACCCCATAATGACAAAGCGAAAACAGGTTTTTAGACATTTTTGCAAATGTATTAAAAATAAAAAACAGAAATACCTAATTGACGTAAGTAATAATATAATAATATGCCATTTAGCAGACGCTTTTATCCAAAGCGACTTACAGTCATGTGCGCGTACATTTTTACGTATGGGTGGTCCCGGGGATCGAACCCACTACCCTGGCGTTACAAGCGCCGTGCTCTACCAGCTGAGCTACAGAGTATTCAGCCCCTTTGCTATGAGACTCGAAATTGAGCTCAGGTGCATCCTGTTTCCATTGATCATCCTTGAGATGTTTCTACAACTTGATTGGAGTCCACCTGTGGTAAATTCAATTGATTGGACATGATTTGGTAAGGCACACACCTGTCTATATAAGGTCCCACAGTTGACAGTGCATGTCAGAGCAAAAACCAAGCCATGAGGTGGGAGGAATTGTCCGTAGAGCTCCGAGACAGGATTGTGTCGAGGTACAGATTTTGGGAAGGGTACCAAAACATTTCTGCAGCACTGAAGGTCCCCAAGAACACAGTGGGCTCTATCATTCTTAAATGGAAGAAGTTTCAAACCACCAAGACTCTTCCTAGAGCTGGCCGCCTGGCCAAACTGAGCATTCGGGTAGAGAAGGGCCTTGGTCAGGGAGGTGACCAAGAACCTGATGGTCACTCTGACAGAGCTCCAGAGTTCCTCTGTGGAGATGGGAGAACCTTCCAGAAGGACAACCATCTCTGCAGCACTCCACCAATCAGGCCTTTATGGTAGAGTGGCCAGACAGGAGCCTGGGGCAAAGGTTCACCTTCCAACAGGACAACGACCCTAAGCACACAGCCAAGACAACGCAGGAGTGGCTTCGGGACAAGTCTCTGAGTGGCCCAGCCAGAGCCCGGACTTGAACCCAATCGAACATCTCTGGAGAGACCTGAAAATAGCTGTTCAGCGACGCTCCCCATCCGACCTGACAGAGCTTGAGAGGATCTGCAGTGAATAATGGAAGAAACTCCACAAATACAGGTGTACCAAGCTTGTAGCTTCAGACCCAAGAAGACTCGAGGCTGTAATCGCTGCCAAAGGTGCTTCAACTAAGTACTGAGTAAAGGGTCTGAATACTTATGTAAATGTGATATCTAAGTTACATTTCCTTATTTTTTTATACATTTACAAAAAATTCTAAAAACCTGTTTTTGCTTTGTCATTATGGGGTATTGTGTGTAGATTGATGAGGGGAGAAAAACGATTTAATCCATTTTAGAATAAGGCTGTAACGTAACAAAATGTGGAAAAAGTCAAGGGGTCTGAATACTTTCCGAATGCACTGTATTGACAAGGGTATGTATTTCCTGTAGTGGTATACAGTATATTGACAAGGGTATGTATTTCCTGTGTGTTTAGACTGTCATTTCAGTGAGAGCGAGGGAGGCCAGCTGCTATACAATGGGGAAGAGAAGCTGGTGAAAGATGGAGATCCTCGCAAATCTATTGGTCAGTTCACTTCCTGAATGATAGAACATGCTGGGGAGGGAGAGAGGGATGGATGGACAGATGGACAGACATAGGTAACATGTTTACATGTGTTCTGATAGGAGGGGAGGGAGAAAGTGATGAGGAGGAGGAAGATGAACCAGTGGCTGAACTAAAGAAACCAAACTCTGATGAGGTGAGTTCTCTACTAATTGATTGATTGTCCTTTTATTGTTCCCCGAAGAGTGTTCTATTTACTTGGGTCATCCTAGTGAGCAAATGAACACGTAATGGTTCTGTGTACCTCTCTGTCTCTCTTTCTGTCGGTCTCTCTCTCTGTCTCTCTCTCTCTCTGTCTCTCTCTCTCTCTGTCTCTCTCTCTCTGTCTCTCTCTCTCGGTCTCTCTCTCTCTGTCTCTCTCTCTCTCTCTCTCGCTCTCTCTCTCTCTCTCTCTCTCTCTCTCTCTCTCTCTCTCTCTCTCTCTCTAATTCAATTCAATTTGATGGGGCTTTATTGGCATGGGAAACATACAGTTGAAGTCGGAAGTTTACATACACTTAGGTCGGAGTCATTAAAACTTGTTTTTCAACCACTCCACAAATTTCTTGTTAATAAACTATAGTTTTGGCAAGTCGGTTAGGACATGTACTTTGTGCATGACACAAGTAATTTTTCCAACAATTGTTTACAGACAGATTATTTCACTTATAATTCACTGTATCACAATTCCAGTGGGTCAGAAGTTTACATACACTAAGTTGACTGTGCCTTTAAACAGCTTGGAAAATTCCAGAAAATGATGTCATGGCTTTAGAAGCTTTTGATAGGCTAATTGACATCATTTGAGTCAATTGGAGGTGTACCTGTGGATGTATTTCAAGGCCTACCTTCAAACTCAGTGCCTCTTTGCTTGACATCATGGGAAAATCAAAAGAAATCAGCCAAGTCTGGTTCATCCTTGGGAGCAATTTCCAAACACCTGAAGGTACCACATTCATCTGTACAAACAATAGTACGCAAGTATAAACACCATGGGACCACGCAGCCGTCATACCGCTCAGGAAGGAGACGCGTTCTGTCTCCTAGAGATGAACGTACTTTGGTGCGAAAAGTGCAAATCAATCCCAGAACAGCAAAGGACCTTGTGAAGATGCTGGAGGAAACTGTTACAAAAGTATCTATATCCACAGTAAAACGAGTCCTATATCGACATAACCTGAAAGGCCGCTCAGCAAAGAAGAAGCCACTGCTCCAAAACCGCCATAAAAAAGCCAGACTACGGTTTGCAACTGCACATGGGGACAAAGATTGTACTTTTTGGAGAAATGTCTTCTGGTCTGATGAAACGAAAATAGAACTGTTTGGCCATAATGACCATTGTTATGTTTGGAGGAAAAAGGGGTTAGCTTGCAAGCCGAAGAAAACCATCCCAACCATGAAGCACGGGGGTGGCAGCATCATGCTGTGGGGGTGCTTTGCTGCAGGAGGGACTGGTGCACTTCACAAAATAGATGGCATCATGAGGAAGGAAAATTATGTGGATATATTGAAGCAACATCTCAAGACATCAGTCAGGAAGTTAAAGCTTGGTCGCAAATGGGTCTTCCAAATGGACAATGACCCCAAGCATACTTCCAAAGTTGTGGCAAAATGGCTTAAGGACAACAAAGTCAAGGTATTGGAGTGGCCATCACAAAGCCCTAACCTCAATCCTATAGAACATTTGTGGGCAGAACTGAAAAAGTGTGTGCAAGCAAGGAGGCCTACAAACCTGACTCAGTTACACCAGCTCTTTCAGGAGGAATGGGCCAGAATTCACCCAACTTATTGTGGGAAGCTTGTGGAAGGCTACCCGAAATGTTTGACCCAAGTTAAACAATTTAAAGGCAATGCTACCAAATACTAATTGAGTGTATGTAAACTTCTGACCCACTGGGAATGTGATGAAAGAAATAAAAGCTGTAATAAATCATTCTCTCTACTATTATTCTGACATTTCACATTCTTAAAATAAAGTGGTGATCCTAACTGACCTAAGACAGGTAATCTAGGATTAAATGTCAGGAATTGTGAAAAACTGAATTTAAATGTATTTGGCTAAGGTGTATGTAAACTTCCGACTTCAACTGTATAGTTAAATCTTTTGGACATCAGCGCAACCTTGAGGGAATCTTTGAGTCAGAAAAGGATGTTCATATGATAAGGAAGATCTCCAAAACCTTGCAGACGACATATCCAACTGACAATCTCTTTAGAATAAAATATCAACTATTGGAACCAAGACTTAAAAAGAACTGATGTTGGCACAAGATGGAGGGAATGTTGGCGCATAACTAACGAAATTACAGTTAGCAAAAATGTGTGTGTAAACTTCCGACTTCAACTGTATGTTTACGTTGCCATAGCAAGTGAAATAAACATTAAACAAAAGTGAGAAGAAACAAATTTATGATAATAAATTAACAGTAAGCATTGCACTCAAAGGTTTCAAGTTTTATATTATCGGCTATGTACAGTGTTTTAGCAATGTGCAAATAGTTGTAGTATGAATAATGGGGGGAAGATAAATAAACAGTAAAATGTTGGCGGTATTTACAATGTTGTTTGTGCTCCACTGGTTGCCCTTTTCTCATGGCAACGTGCCACAAATCTTGCGGTATTTTTCCTAACAGGTATGGGAGTTTATCAATGTTTTATTTTTTTATTTTTTATTATTCTTTGTGGGTCTGTGATCTGTAGGAAATGTGTCTTTAATGTGGTCATATTTGGCAAGAGGTTATGAAGTGCAGCTGAGTTTCCACCTCATTTTGTGGACAGTATGTACATAGCCTGTCTTCTCTTGAGAGCCAGGTCTGCCTACGGTGGCCTCTCTCAATAGCAAGGCTATGCTCACAAGGATTTTATTAATTTTGGGTCAGTCACAGTGGTCAGGTATTCTGCCACTGTGTGCTTTCTGTTTAGGGCCAGGTAGCATTCCAATTTGCTCTTTTTTGGTTGATTCTTTCCAGTGTGTCAAATAGTTATCTTTTTGCTTTCTCATAATTTGGTTGGGTCTAATTGTGTTGCTGTCCTGGGGCTCTTTGGGGTCTGTTTGCGATTTTGAACAGAGCCTCAGAACCAGCTGGCTGAGGAAACTCTTATCTAGGTTAATCTCTCTGTAGGTGAGGTCTGACAGAATCTGTGCAGAAGATCTAGGTGCTGCTGTAGGCCCACCTTCATCAGAAAACAGTAGACATTTGATTTCCGAGTCCAGTAGGGTGAAGCCGGGTGCAGCAGACTGTTCTAGTGCCCTCGCCAATTCGTTGATATACACTGAGTGTAAAAAAACATTAGGAACACCTTCCTAATATTGGAGTTGCACCCCCTTTTGCCCTCAGAACAGCCTCACTTTGTCGGGGGAATGGACTCTACAAGGTGTCAAGCATTCCACAGGGATTCTGGCACATGTTGAGTCCAATGCTTCCCACAGCTGTGTCAAGTTGGCTGGATGTCCTTTGGGTGGTGGACCATTCTTGATGCACATGGGAAACTGTTGAGCGTGAACAACCCATCAGCGTTGCAGTTCTTGACACACTCAAACTGGTGCGCCTGGCACCTACTACCATACCCCTTTCAAAGGCACTTAAATATTTTGTCTTGCCCATTCACCTGCTGATTGGCACACATACACAATCCATGTCTCAATTGTCTCAATCCATGTCTCAATTGTCTCCCCTTCATCTACACTGATTGAAGTGGATTTAACAAGTGACAACAATAAGGGATCATAGCTTTCACCTGGATTCACCTGGTCAATCTCATGGAAAGAGCAGGTGTTCCTAATGTTTTGTACACTTAGTGTATATGTTGAAGAGGGTGGGGCTCAAGCTGCATTTTTTTACCAATTTTAACTGCATATTTGTTGGTTGTGTACATTTGATTTTACAATGTCATATGTTTTCCCCCAACACTGCTTTCCATCAATTTGTATAGCAGACCCTCATGCCAAATTGAGTAAAACGTTTTTTGAAATCCACAAAGCATGAAGACTTTGCTTTTGTTTTGTTTGTTTGCCAATAAGAGTGTGCAGGGTGTATACGTGGTCTGTCATATTGCGGTATTATGGTAAGAATCCAATTTGACATTTGCTGAGTCTGCTGTTGATGATACTGCAGAGGAATTTTCTGTGATTGCTGTTGATGCAGATTCCACTAATTATTGGGGTCAAATGTATCTCCACTTTTGTGGATTGGGGTGACCAGACCTTGGTTCCATATATTGGGGAAGATGCCGGAGCTGAGGATAATGTTGAAGAGTTTAAGAATAGACAATTGGAATTTGTGGTCTGTATATTTGATCATTTCATTGAGGATACAATCAACACCACAGGCCTTTTTTGGTTGGAGGGTTTGTATTTTGTCCTGTAGTTCATCTAATGTAATTGGAGAAACCAGTGGGTTCTGGTAGTCTTTAATAGCTGATTCTAAGTTTTGTAAATTATCATGTATATGTTTTTGCTGTTGGTTCTTTGTTATATTACCGAAAAGGTTGGAGAAGTGGTGTATCCATACATCTCGATTTTGGATAATATACTCTTCGTGTTGTTGTTTGTTTAGTGTGTTCCAATTTTCCCAGAAGTGATTTGATTCTATAGATTCTTCAATCACAATGAGCTGTTTTCTGACATGCTGTTCCTTCTTTTTTCTTAGGGTATTTTTTTGTACTGTTTTAGTGATTCCCCATAGTGATGGCGTAAGCTAAGGGTTTCCAGATCTCTGTTTTTGGTTGGATAGGTTTCTCAATTTATTTCTTAGGTTTTTGCATTCTTCATTAAACCATTTGTCATTGTTGTTAGTTTTCTGCTTGAATTTACATTTCTCTATCTCTCCCTTTTTCTCTCTCTCTCTATCTCTCCCTTATCAATTCAATTCAATAGATTTTATTGACATGGCAAGTTAAATTACTTACATTGTCAAGGTATACATATAACAAAAATGGTGGGACCAACATCAATAGTAATAGTAGTAGTAGTGGAAATGGGATTACCATTAACAGCAATAAGGTATCAATAATAATAGTAGTAGTAGTGGAAATGGGATTACCATTAACAGCAACTACAACAACAATATTAATGAGAATAACAATACATTAAAGCAATAGTAGTAGACCAGTCTCAACATGACTGAGAAGACACATTACATGGTATGAAAGCCAAAACAAAACTAAATGGGAAATATTATTGGCATTACACTGCACTTTTCACTGGCTGTCCCTCAGGTTGTGGCAAGAGGACACACATTTGGCTTTTCACCCAATAAATATTATATTTTTTTATTCATCTTTTGTTTCAAATTCTTTGTACTGAATGATGTATTTTTTTTATCTCTCTCTCAGGGTACTGCTAGTAGTGAGGTGAATGCAACAGAGGAGATGTCTACTCTGGTCAACTACATAGAACCTGTCAAGTTCAAGAGCTTTGAGGTCGCAAACAGTGAGTGTGTGTGTTGAGAGCGAGGTGTGTGTGTGTGTGTGTGTGTGGGGGGGAGGATAGGCATCGTTAGGCCTAACCACCACTCTCATGTAGCTCATTAGACCAGCTAAATGATCAGCCAATCCACACACATTGATTTATTTTAACAGATTTTAATATATTCTCTCTCTCTCTCTCTCTCACTCTCACTCTCACTCACTCACAGAGAGGAATAAGTATTTTGAGATGTCATCGTTCGTTGAGACCAAGGGTATGGACACACTGAAGAGTGCCCCCATTGAGTTTGTTGAGTACAATAAGAAGCAGCTGAGTCGTATCTATCCTAAGGGCACCAGGGTAGACAGTTCGAACTACATGCCTCAACTCTTCTGGAACGTAGGCTGTCAGATGGTGGCTCTAAACTTCCAGACACTTGGTAAGTCCACTTCCTTCTATTCTACTTTCCTTCCCTCCTCTCCTCTTCATCCTTCCATCCTCTCTCTCTCTGTCTCTCTCTCCTCGCTCTCTCGCTCTCTCTCTCTCCTCTCTCTCTCTCTCTCTACTCTCCTCTCTATCTCACACTCTCTCGCTCTCTCTCTTCTCTCTCTCTCTCTCTCTCTCTCTCTCTCTCTCTCTCTCTCTCTCTCTTTCGCTCTCTCTCTCCCTCTCTCTCATTCGGTCCCCCTGTTTCACTTATTTCCATGACTGACAATCTCCCTCTTCCCTCCTCCCTCCCCCCCTACATCCCTCCTCCCTCCCCCCTCCCTCCCCTCTCTCCTCCATCCCCCTCTCTCCCTCAGACCTGCCCATGCAGTTGAACATGGGAGTATTTGAGTATAATGGTCACAGTGGCTACCTGCTGAAACCAGAGTTTATGAGACGGACAGACAAACACTTTGACCCCTTCACTGAGAACATTGTGGACGGCATCGTAGCCAACACCGTCAAGATCAGGGTGAGTGGGTAGGAGTAACTGTGTGTGTCTCTCTCTCTCTCTCTCTCTGTGTGTGTAACCATCTCCTTCTCTCCATCCCTCCATCTCCAGGTGATCTCGGGTCAGTTCCTGACCGATAAGAAAGTGAGTGTGTACGTGGAAGTGGACCTATTTGGACTTCCTGCCGACACAAAGAGGAAGTATCGCACCAGGACGTCCAATGGGAACAGCCTGGACCCTGTCTGGGATGACGAGACGTTTGTCTTCAACAAGGTAACGTTAACACAGCCTCAACACACACAAACCGAACACACACTCACAGAAACACAAAAACACAAGGTAACATAGCCCACAATGCTGGGAAAGTCAAACTTCTTTCACTACTTCCAATTCCATTCATTTCAATAAGGCTCATTTGTTAGCCCTGCATTGTGATAAAACAACTGATAATGTCTCTCTCTCCCTCTAGATGGGCCTCTCCTCCTCTCTTTGGCGGTCCTCTCCTCCTCTCTAGGCGGTCCTCTCCTCCTCTCTTTGGCGGTCCTCTCCTCCTCTCTTTTGCGGTCCTCTCCTCCTCTCTTTTGCGGTCCTCTCCTCCTCTCTAGGCGGTCCTCTCCTCCTCTCTTTGGCGGTCCTCTCCTCCTCTCTAGGTGGTCCTCTCCTCCTCTCTTTGGCGGTCCTCTCCTCCTCTCTAGGCGGTCCTCTCCTCCTCTCTTTGGCGGTCCTCTCCTCCTCTCTTTGGCGGTCCTCTCCTCCTCTCTAGGCGGTCCTCTCCTCCTCTCTAGGCGGTCCTCTCCTCCTCTCTAGGCGGTCCTCTCCTCCTCTCTAGACGGGCCTCTCCTCCTCTCTAGGCGGTCCTCTCCTCCTCTATAGGCGGTCCTCTCCTCCTCTCTAGGCGGTCCTCTCCTCCTCTCTAGGCGGGCCTCTCCTCCTCTCTAGACGGTCCTCTCCTCCTCTCTAGGCGGTCCTCTTCTCCTCTCTTTGGCGGTCCTCTCCTCCTCTCTAGGCGGTCCTCTCCTCCTCTCTAGGCGGGCCTCTCCTCCTCTCTAGACGGTCCTCTCCTCCTCTCTTTGGCGGTCCTCTCCTCCTCTCTTTGGCGGTCCTCTCCTCCTCTCTAGGCGGTCCTCTCCTCCTCTCTAGGCGGTCCTCTCCTCCTCTCTAGGCGGTCCTCTCCTCCACTCTAGGCGGTCCTCTCCTCCGCTCTTTGGCGGTCCTCTCCTCCGCTCTTTGGCGGTCCTCTCCTCCTCTCTTTGGCGGTCCTCTCCTCCTCTCCACCCAGGCCTCTCTGGGATCGTAATGATAATCTCTCTTCTACTCCCCTCCCCTCCTCCTCTCTAGGTGGTCCTCCCCACCCTGGCCTCTTTGAGGATAGCTGTGTTTGAGGAGAATGGGAAGTTCCTGGGACATCGGATCTGCCCTGTGTCAACTATCCGCCCTGGTCAGTACTGAGGATGGTTTGCTTGATTCAGGCATTCAGACTAAGTGTCATCTGTTGCCATGGGGATTCACTTGCAGTCTTTTGTTTCTCAATCTATTATCATAATGGTGAATCACCTCTAATACTATGAGATCTGTTGTTTTCTTGGGATCTTTGAACGAGTGTGTTTTTATAAATCCTGTGTGTGTGTAGGTTACCACTACATCAGCCTGAAGAATGAGATGAACCAGCCTCTGATGCTGCCCTCCCTCCTGGTCTACACTGAGGCTCAGGACTACATTCCTAATGAACACCAGGGTAAGAAAACCCCTACCCATAACCCCCTAGGACTACACTACCTATAACCATCTCTAGGACTAACCTACCCATAACCTTCTGGAACTACACTACCCATAAGCCTCTAGGTCTGCACTACCCATAACCCCATGGGACTACACTACCATAAACACCTAGGACTACACGACCCATAAACCACTAGGACTACACTACCCATAAGCCTCTAGGACTACACTACCCATAAGCCTCTAGGACTACACTACCCATAACCCTCTAGGACTACACTACCCATAACCCCATAGGACTCCTAGGCCTGGGCGGTATTCAGATTGTCATACCTTTATACCGACCTTGTGCCATACCGGGATATTCGGTAATACCGGCACTGAACACAATGGGCGCTGTTTTTAAACCCCACTGGACCTTTGTAAACCGAAGGTTAGCAATGCTACCAAGCACATGTAGAATCCCATAGCGAATGCTATCTAAATGCTAACGAGTGCATTGCGAACATTTTATACAGTCTCTGACCTAAACTTTATAAGTAGCTCAAAAATGCTGCTCACGGTTTGCTGCACGCACAAAACAAATATTAGACAGCAAGGCTCTTGATCCAGGTTGGGATTCTCTGCTGTTACCAAGCAAAGCTTGATTTTGGAAGAAGCTAACCACTTAGCTAGATAGCTAACTAACTTCTAAATTAGCAAACCAAATGCACAACTGGAGAGTATTTAGCACATTTTAGACAGTTAACTTAATAGTTATAAGATATCTAGCTGGCTAAACATTTAGTTGTGAATTCCATCCTGTAATTAGATAACCTGGCGCGTGCTGCACCACAGTGGGTGACTCACAAGGCTCCGGTCTCTCGTCGCTGTGTGCTTGTAAACAAACACCACGTGACTGGGGACTACCGGTAAGCATCATAATGAAAGATTATGTGACAGGTAAACTGAAGCACGCAATCTTCTTTATCTCCTAACCTATTGCACAAATTGACTGCAGGTATTAACTTAAAAAGTAGCTACAAATACTCAAATGTATTAAAAATGATTGACGGTGTTGAAAAACCATCCTTGTGGCTTTTTACAAATAGCCTGGTATACGGTAAATACGGTATACCACCCAAGCCTAAGGACTACACTACCCATAACCCCCTAGGACAACACTACCCTTAACCCCATAGGACTACACTACCCTTAACCCCATAGGACTACACTGCCCATAACCCCATAGGACTACATCCCTAAAGAACAACAGGGATGTATTCATTACGCCGATTCGGTTGCAAAACGTTTTGTCTGTTGCAGAACGTTTTGCAACAGAAAGAGTTATCTATTGGACAAGTTCAGGTCCCTCTCCGTTTCATTCCATTTGCTTCCGTTTGGTTCTTAAACGGTAAACGGTTAACGGTTTCCGTTGTAAGATGTAATGAATACGCCCCAGGGTAATGTGGCGTTCATGACCTGAGTTATCAGAAATACTACATTTTTACTGAGAGAACTCGTTCACGTTAGCTGAACTCTGACATCACCTACCAAGGAAGTTACTTTGATGACAGTGTTTTCTGCACTTAAATGCAACAACAAGTGTTATTAAGTGTGTGTACCAGGGTGCATTGCTCCTTTTGTGTTGTGTGTTATAGAGTATGCTGAGGCCCTGACCAACCCCATCAAACATGTTTTATAGAGTATTCTGAGGCCCTGACCAACCCCATCAAACATGTTTTATAGAGTATGCTGAGGCCCTGACCAACCCCATCAAACATGTTATAGAGTATGCTGAGGCCCTGACCAACCCCATCAAACATGTTTTATAGAGTATGCTGAGGCCCTGACCAACCCCATCAAACATGTTATAGAGTATGCTGAGGCCCTGACCAACCCCATCAAACGTGTTATAGAGTATGCTGAGGCCTTGACCAACCCCATCAAACGTGTTATAGAGTATGCTGAGGCCTTGACCAACCCCATCAAACGTGTTATAGAGTATGCTGAGGTCCTGACCAACCCCATCAAACGTGTTATAGAGTATGCTGAGGCCTTGACCAACCCCATCAAACATGTGTTATAGAGTATGCTGAGGCCTTGACCAACCCCATCAAACGTGTTATAGAGTATGCTGAGGTCCTGACCAACCCCATCAAACGTGTTATAGAGTATGCTGAGGCCTTGACCAACCCCATCAAACATGTGTTATAGAGTATGCTGAGGCCTTGACCAACCCCATCAAACATGTTTTATAGAGTATGCTGAGGCCTTGACCAACCCCATCAAACATGTTTTATAGAGTATGCTGAGGCCTTGACCAACCCCATCAAACATGTTTTATAGAGTATGCTGAGGCCTTGACCAACCCTATCAAACATGTCAGTCTCCTGGTCCAGAGAGAGAGACAGCTAGCTTCTCTAATGGAGGACAACAGTGAGGTGAGGAGACACACACACACACACACACACTCACTCTCACACACACACACACACACACACACACACACACACACACACACACACACACACACTGATAGGCAGAGAGACACAGCTAGCTACTTTGGCCAGCAGTAAAGGGAGGATACTGATTAAATCTGTCCATTCCAGGCATTACTATGAAACCATCCACTGATTTTAAAGTAACACCATCCACCACCGCATGAGTTACAAATTAAAGAGGTCACCCAGATTGCAAAAGTACCTATTGGTTTCCTTGTCATGTAAGCAGTCAATGGGATACATTTTTATTTTTTTATTTTACCTTTATTTAACTAGGCAAGTCAGTTAAGAACAAATTCTTATTTACAATGACGGCCTACCAAAAGGCAAAAGGCCTCCTGCGGGGACGGGGGGCTGGGATTAAAAATAAAAAATATAGAACCAAATACACATCACAACAAGAGAGACACTACATAAAGAGAGACCTAAGACAACAACACAGCATGGCAGCAACACATGACAACATAACATGGTAGCAACATCACATGACAACAAAATGGTTGCAACACAACATGGTAGCAACACAACATGGCAGCAGCACAAAACATGGTACAAACATTATTGGGCACAGACAACAGCACAAAGGGCAAGAAGGTAGAGACAACAATACATCACATGAAGCAGCCACAACTGTCAGTAAGAGAGTGTCCATGATTGAGTCTTTGAATGAAGAGATGGAGATAAAACTGTCCAGTTTGAGTGTTTTTTGCAGCTCGTTCCAGTCGCTAGCTGCAGCGAACTGAAAAGAGGAGCGACCCAGGGATGTGTGTGCTTTGGGGACCTTTAACAGAATGTGACTGGCAGAACGGGTGTTGTATGTGGAGGATGAGGGCTGCAGTAGGTATCTCAGATAGGGGGGAGTGAGGCCTAAGAGGGTTTTATAAATAAGCATCAACCAGTGGGTCTTGCGACTGGTACACAGAGATGACCAGTTTACAGAGGAGTATAGAGTGCAGTGATGTGTCCTATAAGGAGCATTGGTGGCAAATCTGATGGCCGAATGGTAAAGAACATCTAGCCACTCGAGAGCACCCTTACCTTCCGATCTATAAATTACATCTCCGTAATCTAGCATGAGGTAGGATGGTCATCTGAATCAGGGTTAGTCTGGTAGCTGGGGTGAAAGAGGAGCGATTACGATAGAGGAAACCAATTCTAGATTTAACCTTAGCCTGCAGCTTTGATATGTGCTGAGAGAAGGACAGCGTACAGTCTAGCCATACTCCCAAGTACTCGTATGAGGTGACTACCTCAAGCTCTAAACCCTCAGAGGTAGTAATCACACCGGTGGGGAGAGGGGCATTCTTCTTACCAAACCACATGACCTTTGTTTTGGAGGTGTTCAGAACAAGGTTAAGGGCAGAGAAAGCTTGTTGGACACTAAGAAAGCTTTGTTGTAGAGCGTTTAGCACAAAATCCGTGGAGAGGCCAGCTGAGTATAAGACTGTATCATCTGCATATAAATGGATGAGAGAGCTTCCTACTACCTGAGCTATGTTGTTGATGTAAATTGAGAAGAGCGTGGGGCCTAGGATCGAGCCTTGGGGTTCTCCCTTGGTGACAGGAAGTGGCTGAGACAGCAGATGTTCTGACTTTATACACTGCACTCTTTGAGAGACGTAGTTAGCAAACCAGGCCAAAGACCCCTCAGAGACACCAATACTACTTAGTTGACCCACAAGAATGGAATGGTCTACCGTATCAAAAGCTTTGGCCAAGTCAATAAAAATAGCAGCACAACATTGCTTAGAATCAAGGGCAATGGTGACATCATTTAGGACCTTTTAAGGTTGCAGTGACACATCCATAACCTGAGCGGAAACCAGATTGCGTACCAGAGAGAACACTATAGACATCAAGAAAGCCAGTCAGCTGAATATTGACAAGTTTTTCCAACACTTTTGATAAACAGGGCAAAATAGAAATTGGCCTATAGCAGTTAGGATCAACTTGATCTCCACCTTTAAATAAAGGACGCACCGTGGCTGCCTTCCAAGCAATGGGAACCTCCCCAGAGAGGAGAGACAGGTTAAAAAGGTCAGAGACAGGCTTGGTGATGATAGGGGCTGCAACCTTAAAGAAGATAGGATCTAAACCATGTGACCCAGATGTTTTTTTGGGGTCAAGTTTAAGGAGCTCCTTTAGCACCTCGGACTCTGTGACCGCCTGCAGGGAGAAACGTATTAGCGGGGCAGGGGGAAAAGAGGGAGGAGCATCGGGGCTAGTCGCATTAGAAGGGCTGGGAGATGAGGAAATGTTGGACGGGCAAGGAGGCGTGGCTGAGTCAAATAGGAATCCTGACTTAATGAAGTGGTGATTTAAAGAGCTCAGCCATGTGCTCCTTGTCAGTAACAACCACATCATCAACATTAAGGGACATAGGCAGCTGTGAGGAGGAGGGTTTATTCTCCAGGTCTAGACAGCAAGCCATTACCATGCTTTGGTTGCGTTTACGTGGCCACCGTCTCCAAATGTATTTTTTTTTTATGATCAACGTTCTGACTTCGTTGTATGTAGAGTGTGTTGGAGCAGCCAAAGGAGGGAGGGCGGGATTTGGAGGGCGACGCCCCCCTTGTGAAGATCCCCTCCCCCCTCCAACCGGTCCCCTCCCCCATCGATGACATCAGCAACCTCGTCAGCTCACCTGGTCCAGGTAGGGCTACATTGTTACAGAGGAGGGTGGTGGGCGGAGATACAGTGGGGGAAAAAAGTATTTAGTCAGCCACCAATTGTGCAAGTTCTCCCACTTAAAAAGATGAGAGAGGCCTGTAATTTTCATCATAGGTACACGTCAACTATGACAGACAAAATGAGAAAAAAAAATCCTGAAAATCACATTGTAGGATTTTTAATGAATTTATTTGCAAATTATGGTGGAAAATAAGTATTTGGTCAATAACAAAAGTTTCTCAATACTTTGTTATATACCCTTTGTTGGCAATGACACAGGTCAAACGTTTTCTGTAAGTCTTCACAAGGTTTTCACACACTGTTGCTGGTATTTTGGCCCATTCCTCCATGCAGATCTCCTCTAGAGCAGTGATGTTTTGGGGCTGTCGCTGGGCAACACAGACTTTCAACTCCCTCCAAAGATTTTCTATGGGGTTGAGATCTGGAGACTGGCTAGGCCACTCCAGGACCTTGAAATGCTTCTTACGAAGCCACTCCTTCGTTGCCCGGGCGGTGTGTTTGGGATCATTGTCATGCTGAAAGACCCAGCCACGTTTCATCTTCAATGCCCTTGCTGATGGAAGGAGGTTTTCACTCAAAATCTCACAATACATGGCCCCATTCATTATTTCCTTTACACAGATCAGTCGTCCTGGTCCCTTTGCAGAAAAACAGCCCCAAAGCATGATGTTTCCACCCCCATGCTTCACAGTAGGTATGGTGTTCTTTGGATGCAACTCAGCATTCTTTGTCCTCCAAACACGAATAGTTGAGTTTTTACCAAAAAGTTCTATTTTGGTTTCATCTGACCATATGACATTCTCCCAATCCTCTTCTGGATCATCCAAATGCACTCTAGCAAACTTCAGACGGGCCTGGACATGTACTGGCTTAAGCAGGGGGACACGTCTGGCACTGCAGGATTTGAGTCCCTGGCGGCGTAGTGTGTTACTGATGGTAGGCTTTGTTACTTTGGTCCCAGCTCTCTGCAGGTCATTCACTAGGTCCCCCCGTGTGGTTCTGGGATTTTTGCTCACCGTTCTTGTGATCATTTTGACCCCACGGGGTGAGATCTTGCGTGGAGCCCCAGATCGAGGGAGATTATCAGTGGTCTTGTATGTCTTCCATTTCCTAATAATTGCTCCCACAGTTGATTTCTTCAAACCAAGCTGCTTACCTATTGCAGATTCAGTCTTCCCAGCCTGGTGCAGGTCTACAATTTTGTTTCTGGTGTCCTTTGACAGCTCTTTGGTCTTGGCCATCGTGGAGTTTGGAGTGTGACTGTTTGAGGTTGTGGACAGGTGTCTTTTATACTGATAACAAGTTCAAATAGGTGCCATTAATACAGGTAACGAGTGGAGGACAGAGGAGCCTCTTAAAGATGAAGTTACAGGTCTGTGAGAGCCAGAAATCTTGCTTGTTTGTAGGTGACCAAATACTTATTTTCCACCATAATTTGCAAATAAATTCATTAAAAATCCTACAATGTGATTTTCTGGATTTTTTTTCCTCAATTTGTCTGTCATAGTTGACGTGTACCTATGATGAAAATTACAGGCCTCTCTCATCTTTTTAAGTGGGAGAACTTGCACAACTGGTGGCTGACTAAATACTTTTCTTCCCCACTGTATATACGAGGACGGAAAGGTATCAAACCCATCATAACGTTCCATTTATTCCATTCCAGCCAATACAATGAGCCCGTCCTCCTGTAGCTACGCCCACCAGCCACTTCAATTGCTATCTCTTCAGACAACAACATTTCCCCTCACAATTGTACAGTTGAAGTCGGAAGTTTACATACACTTAGGTTGGAGTCATTAAAAGTCGTTTTTCAACCACTCCACAAATTTCTTGTTAACAAACTATGGTTTTGGAAAGTCGGTTAGGACATCTACTTTCTGCATGACAAGTAATTTTTCCAACAATTGTTTACAGACAGATTATTTCACTTATAATTCACTGTATCACAATTCCAGTGCGTCAGAAGATTACATACACTAAGTTGACTGTGCCTTTAAACAGCTTGGAAAATTCCAGAAAAGGATATCATGGCTTTTAGAAGCTTCTGATAGGCTAATTGACATCATTTGAGTCAGTTGGAGGTGTACTTGTGGATGTATTTGAAGGCCTACCTTCAAACACAATGCCGCTTTGCTTGACATCATGGGGAAATCAACCAAGACCTCAGAAAAACAATTGTAGACCTCCACAAGTCTGGTTCATCCTTGGGAGCAATTTCCAAACGCCTGAAGGTTCCACGTTCATCTGTACAAACAATAGTACGCAAGTATAAACACAATGGGACCACTCAGCTGTCATACGCGTTCTGTCTCCTAGAGATGAACGTACTTTGGTGCGAAAAGTGCAAATCAATCCCAGAACAACAGCAAAGGACCTTGTGAAGATGCTGGAGGAAACAGGTACAAAAGTATCTATATCCACAGTAAAACGAGTCCTATATCGACATAACCTGAAAGGCCGCTCAGCAAGGAAGAAGCCGCTGCTCCAAAACCGCCATAAAAAAGCCAGACTACGGTTTGCAACTGCACATGGGGACAAAGATTGTACTTTTTGGAGAAATGTCCTCTGGTCTGATGAAACAAAAATAGAACTGTTTGGCCATAATGACCATCGTTATGTTTGGAGGGAAAAGGGGAAGGCTTGCAAGCCGAAGAACACCATCCCCACCGTGAAGCACGGGGGTGGCAGCATCATGCTGTGAGGGTGCTTTGCTGCAGGAGGGACTGGTGCACTTCACAAAATAGATGGCATCATGAGGAAGGAAAATTATGTGGATATATTGAAGCAACATCTCAAGACATCAGTCAGGAAGTTAAAGCTTGGTCGCAAATGGGTCTTCCAAATGGACAATGACCCCAAGCATACTTCCAAAGTTGTGGCAAAATGGCTTAAGGACAACAAAGTCAAGGTATTGGAGTGGCCATCACAAAGCCCTGACCTCAATCCTATAGAACATTTGTGGGCAGAACTGAAAAAGTGTGTGCGAGCAAGGAGGCCTACAAACCTGACTCAGTTACACCAGCTCTGTCAGGAGGAATGGGCCAGGATTCACCCAACTTATTGTGGGAAGCTTGTGGAAGACTACCCGAAATGTTTGACCCAAGCTAAACAATTTTAAAGGCAATGCTACCAAATACTAATTGAGTGTATGTAAACTTCTGACCCACTGGGAATGTGATGAAAGAAATAAAAACTGAAATAAATCATTCTCTCTACTATTATTCTGACATTTCACATTCTTAAAATAAAGTGGTGATCCTAACTGACCTAAGACAGGGAATCTTTACTAGGATTAAATGTCAGGAATTGTGAAAAACTGAATTTAAATGTATTTGGCTAAGTTGTATGTAAACTTCCGACTTCAACTGTATCTTGTTGGTCATCATTAAATGTGTATTATTGTGTGAAGTTATCAAGCGTGTAGCGTTACCTTGCTGTGTAATGAACAAACCGGTCATGTCACATTTCAACCACTCCTGTCATGTCTCTGTCTCCACGTTTCAGGCCAGAAAGAGGATCTTATTGCTACAGTCCTGGCAAGTAAGTACTCTCCATTCCACTCATCTACATTACATTACGCCACAGAACTCACTATCGCCCTCATGTGGTGGGAGTCCAAATAATAATATCAGCTAATTCCACTGTTTATCTCTGTCCCTCTCCCCCCCTCCTCTCTCAGATCTCCAGGCTCAGTCTATTGAAGAGCTGAAACAGCAGAAGTCATATCAGAAGCTGTTGAAGAAACAGTGTAAAGAACTCCAAGAGCTCCAGAAGAAACACCTGAAGAAGGTTAGACTGACGCTCTCTCACCTCCTCCGTCTCTCACCTCCGTCTCTCTCTCTCTGGAGCAGAATCAGAAATAGTAACTGGCAGAGATCTTACCAATAAACGACGATAATATTATTCATGAACGGCTATTGAAGGTTTCTGTGTGCCTGCGTATTGACAGGTGTGGGCCCTGAGTAAGGAGCAGAGGAGTCGCTGTAGCCAGCTACGCTCTGACACACAGAAACGACGCAGTCAGATGGAGAAAAACCTGAAATGCAGCATGAAGAAGAAGTAAGGAAGGGATGGTGAAGGGGACGAAGAAGAGTAATCCAGATAATCCACTGGCCCAGGGCTGTATTCATTGGTCAGACGTCGTAGTAAATCGTTTCGCTAAAAACAAAAACCGTTTACTCCAAATAGAAAACGTTTTGCAGAGAGTTTCTATTGGACAATTTCAGGTCGGCCCCCTGACAGTTTGGTTCCGTTTTGGTTCCTAGTGAATACACCCCTGTCCATTCAGAACTACAGCCGGTATCTAGAGAGCTGGAAGGGGGTTCGGAGTAAGAAAACAGGGAGAGACACGGTGGGGAATATAGAGTGTGTGTGTGTGTGTGTGTGTGTGTGTCAGTGAGCCAGCAGAGCCGGTGCAGAGGCAGCTGACAGCGTTGGAGGTGGAGCTACAGAAACGGACGGTGCAGCTCAGGGAGTGGCAGATGGAGGAGCTGCTGAAACTACGACAACAACAACACACACTGGAGAGAGAGAAGAGACACACACACCTACGAGAGGTACACACACACACACACAACCCAGAGGTACACACACCAGAGGTACACACACACACACAACCCAGAGGTACACACACACACACACCCACACACACACAACCCAGAGGTACACACACACACACACCAGAGGTACACACACACACACACACACACCAGAGGTACACACACACACACCAGAGGTGTACACACACACACACACACACACACACACACACACACACCAGAGGTACACACACACACACACACACACACCAGTGGTACACACACACACACACACACACACACACCAGAGGTACACACACACACACACACCTACGAGAGGTACACACACACACACACACACCTACGAGAGGTACACACACACACACACACACCTACCAGAGGTACACACACACACACACACACCTACCAGAGGTACACACACACACACACACACCTACCAGAGGTACACACACACACACACCTACCAGAGGTACACACACACACACACACCTACCAGAGGTACACAACACACACACACCTACCAGAGGTACACACACCTACGAGAGGTACACACACACACAAACACACACACACCTACGAGAGGTACACACACACACACACACCTACCAGAGGTACACACACACACACACACACACACACACACACCTACCATAGGTACACACACACACACCTACCAGAGGTACACACACACACACAAACACACACACACCTACGAGAGGTACACACACACACACACACACACACACACACACACACCTACCAGAGGTACACACACACACACACACACACACACACCTACCAGAGGTACACACACACACACACACACACCTACCACAGGTACACACACACACACCTACCAGAGGTACACACACACACACACACACACACCTACCACAGGTACACACACACACACCTACCAGAGGTACACACACACACACACACACACCTACCAGAGGTACACACACACACACACACACACACCTACCACAGGTACACACACACACACCTACCAGAGGTACACACACACACACACACACACACACCTACCACAGGTACACACACACACACCTACCAGAGGTACACACACACACACACCACACCTACCAGAGGTACACACACACACACACACACACACACCTACGAGAGGTACACACACACACACACCTACCAGAGGTACACACACACACACACCTACCAGAGGTACACACACACACACACACACACACCTACCACAGGTACACACACACACACCTACCAGAGGTACACACACACACCACACACACACACACACCTACGAGAGGTACACACACACACACACCTACGAGAGGTACACACACACACACACCCTACCAGAGGTACACACACCACACACACCTACCAGAGGTACACACACACACACACACACACACCTACCACAGGTACACACACACACACCTACCAGAGGTACACACACACACACACACACCACACACACACACACACACACCTACGAGAGGTACACACACACACACACCTACGAGAGTACACACACACACACACACACCTACCAGAGGTACACACACTCTTACCCCTCCTACTGTGTGTTCCAGGCATCTCAGAAACTAAAGGAGACGTCCCAGGAATGCCAGACTGCTCAACTGAAAAAACTCAAGGAGATCTGCGCGAGGTAAGATAGTTATAACACTTTATAACCACTGTATTATTCCCAATATAGATGGACCCTAACCCTATCAAAACACCTTTTATTAGTACACTTAAGTTATTATACGAGAGGTAACATACTGTTTTCTGATCATTTATAATAATAATTGATTGGATTTATGTAGTGCTTTTCCAGCGCTCAAAGCACTTGCGTAGTAAGGGGCAAACTCACCTCATCCACCACCGATGTGACGCTATCACTTGGATGATGACCTTTGTGCCAGAACGCTCACCACACATCAGCTGTCATAACAACTGTATTACTCAGAATGTACCTGGTCAGTTATTCTGATGGAATCCCTTCCTAGTCTGATGCAATCGCAAGCTGCGTTTATACTTTGTGAATTAAAGGTGCCCTACTGTCTTTTTGAAATGTTGTTGTTGATTTGGTTATGGTTGTTGTTGATGATCTGGTAATACCATTGTTGTTGTTGTTGTTGTTTACAGAGAGAAGAAGGAGCTTCAGAAGATTCTAGACAGGAAGAGACAGAACAGCATCATTGAGGCCAAGAGCAGAGACAGAGACAAGGCCGAGTCGTACGTCAGTGTGTGTGTGTGTGCGTCAGCGTGGGTTGGAGTGTGTGTGTGTGTGTGTGTATCATTATCAAAGGTAATTACAGTCTCCCAACATTTTTTATGTCCCTCTCTCTCTTTGTAGAGAACAGAATGAGATCAACAGGAAGCATATCTCAGATTCTGTCGCCTTAATTCGCAGGGTAAGTGTGTGCAGGCCACACACACACACATACACACACACACACACACACACACACACACACACACACACACACACACACATACACACACACACACACACACACACACACACACACACACACACACACACACACACACACACACACGTCTTATCCTCTGAGTAGTACCTCTCTTTTCTGCTCTCTGTCAGCCGTCTCCCTTTGTGAAGTCAATAACTCTTATCTCCCTTCCTCTTTCTCGCTCCTCTCTCTCTTTCCCCCCCCCCCACTCTAGTTGGATGAGGCCCAGTCAAGGCGTCAGGAGAAGTTGGTCATTGGTCAGAGAGAAGTCCTACGACACATAGAGGAGGAGAAACCACTGGTGAGACACAGAGACAGACAGACACAGAGACAGACACAGAGACAGACACAGAGACAGACACAGAGACAGACACAGAGACAGACACAGAGACACAGACAGAGACACAGACAGACACAGAGACAGACACAGACACAGACACAGAGACAGACACAGAGACAGACACAGAGACAGACACAGAGACAGACACAGAGACAGACACAGAGACAGACACAGAGACAGACAGACAGACAGACAGACAGACAGACAGACAGAGACAGAGACAGACAGACAGACAGAGACAGACACAGACAGAGACAGACAGACAGACAGACAGACACACACAGAGACAGACAGACAGACAGACACACACAGAGACAGACAGACAGACAGACAGACACACACAGAGACAGACAGACAGACACACACACACAGAGACAGACAGACAGACACACACAGACAGACACACAGACACATACAGACAGACAGACAGACACACAGACACAGACAGACAGAGACAGACAGACACACACAGACAGACAGAGACAGACAGACACACACAGACAGACACACACAGACAGACAGACAGAGACAGACAGACACACAGACAGACAGAGACAGACAGACACACACAGACAGACAGAGACAGACACACACACACACAACCCTTCAAACTTCAAATATACGAGGCAAAACGCATCATCATGACAGTTTAAGCTCTGTACTGAAAGCGCTCCATCTTGAAAAATTGACTGCTGACATGCACCATTTTGGGGGGCATTTTATTAACATTGAACTAATGAATAACGTACTTAAAGAACGTTTTTGAGTAAAGGGATCATTTAATGTTGAAGGATCCCTTTATCTAATAAATCAAACTATTTAAATTCCAGCTGAAGGCCCGGTTGGAGCAAGACTTGGAGGCGGAGCTCCAGCGTCTCCCTGAGGAGATCTGCCAATACCTGCAGGCGGAACTCGAGTCCAAAGGTCTCTGCAGCGACGCCCTCTTTTCCTTATCCATTCATAGCAGCCCTAGCTCCAGCTCAGGCACGCCATCCAACTGCTCCACGCCCACTTTACCCTTAACGCCCAATAGCAGTGCCTGGAACAGGAGCCTGGACAATGGCATCGCCTCATTGGTGGATTCATCCTCTTCCTCTACTCCTGTCCAATCAGAAGTAGAGTTGACCATGGTGTAAATTTAATTATGTCAATTTTATCATAATGGTTCCTGGGCTTTAGTTGGTGAAAAAATTATTTTTGTTGTTTTCATTTTTTATTTGTTTTTAATTGTAATTACATTTTTTTTATTTGATTAAATGTTTAAAGATGTTAATTTGTTCAATTCTTCTCCCCGGTGTTTTAGACAGGGAAAGTAGAGACGAGGTAACCAAAGTAAAAAATATATATATATTTTCTGTTCATTCGTCAGATTTCTTTTTACATGTATATTTTTCTCATCAATGTCTGTCAGAGATTTTGTCTTTTAACCACTCGTTCTGACTGTAGCTTATCTCTTAAGCACTCTCTGTCCCAAAACTAAAAGCTGGTGGTTCAACTTGGAATAGTTTCTGTTTGGACTATCTGAATGGTTGGTAATGTTTTGACTTTCGAGACTGGAGAGTCAGGAAAAGCCAAAAAGTTAATCTCAGCACCAAAAACATTTGAGACTCACGCTGGCTGCAGGTGTTGTGGTGCAGTACACATATTAAACCACCAGATGGCGCTGTTGTATCGGCAGTAGTGAGTTGTTTACCCCTCTATCACTGAGATTCTCTGCTATTGGCTAGGCTACGGCTAACGATGAAATATACTTGTTTACAGGAATGTGTGGACAGCGCTAGCTCCGAGCTAGCGTAGCATAATGCTGATGCTACATGATAAAATAGCCAGGATGCTAATCCCCTAATCTGCAGCTGGGGGATACGTTAATAATATTGATGGATGGATGGATGGACAGAGAGAGAGAATGAAAGAGGGATGATGTGGAAATGATGGCCTGCTCCATCTTTGACGTCATTGGTCAGGATGAGTTTTTGACCTCTGACCCCTGTAGTCGTCCAATTAACATCCTGCGCTGGTGTGGGGGGGCAGGGGTCAGCCCATATGTGAACTATAATCTACAATCTCTGTGTGTGTGTGTGATGCACTGCTCCGGCCGCGGCTTTCTAGGAGCCACGCAAGAAACACAGACAAGTACAGTACGTTCTCAGACACTCTCTCTCGCTCTGTCGGGTTAGGGCCAGTCTAGTTCCCTGTAGTATTGATTTAATCTGAGCCCTATGTGCCCTGGATGAATGTAGTGCACTATATAGGGAAATAGGGTTCCATTTGGGATGCAGATTAAGTCAACAAGTACCTAAAATAATCATGTTCAGTTGCCATTAGAGAGATGGGTTAGGAGACCATATAGAGATTATATAATTATTATGATTTATTTTAGATTATTCCTGTGTGTGTGTGTGTGTGTGTGTGTGTGTGTGTGTGTGTGTGTGTGTGTGTGTGTGTGTGTGTGTATATTAATCTTCGGGGTAGACAGCTGCTTTTTGGTCTCTAAACTGTTCTCATCTCGACTATCTCTGAGAGTGAGAGTGAGTGAGTGAGTGAGTGAGTGAGTGAGTGAGTGAGTGAGTGAGTGAGTGAGTGAGAGAGAGAGATTTCCTCCTCTTTATTTCTCTCTTCCCTCTGTCCTTTCCTCGCTCTAATTCCTTCACCCGTCTCTCTCTCTCACTCCTCCCTCTCTCTCTTTCTGTCGCTCTCTCTTGGTGCCAGGTCTAAATTAAAGATGGAGTTGACACGTGGGCATCTTTCCCACCAGCCTCTGCTGCCAGCTACAAACCAAGGGCAAGCCACTGCAACCTCTTTCACTCACTCACTCACTCACTCAATCTTTTCATTCATTCTTCTCCCTGTCATCTACCTGCAAACACACACACACGCTGTAAGGGAAAGTGAAAAGGCAGGAGTGTGTGTGTGTGTGTGTGTGTGTGTGTGTGTGTGTGTGTGACAAGAAGAAACCAGCAGTCATGTCATAACATCTATCTTCTGTGTGAAAACAAACTTGTACTATTTACATCTATTTCTTTACCACCTTGTTTGGTTTTCCCTTGTGAACTGGTCACATGTTGGTCTGAATCCCAAACCCTTCACCCTTTTCCATATGGGCTCTGGTCAAAAATAGTGCACTGTGTAGGGTACATTCGGGATGCAGACGTTATCTGTACGTGGACGGTGGACTAGAGTAGACTATTCTGTGGATATATTATAGTTATTATTATTCATCTGTTTCTATGACCAGTACTACTGACTAAATGTGCCCCTGGGCAGAAAGGAGGGAAGGAGGGAAGGAGGGATGGAGGGATGGAGGGAAGGAGGGAAGGAGGGATGGAGGGATGGAGGGAAGGAGGGAAGGAGGGATAGAGGGAAGGAGGGAGGAGGGAAGGAGGGAAGGAGGATGTATGGATGGAGGGCTGGAGTGAAGGACGGAAGGAGGAAGGATGGGATGGGATGTCTGGGACGGCGAGGGATGGCGGTGGGCGATGGCTGGGCTTGTAGGTCTGGTGTGGCTGGAGGGTGGTGTGTGGTACGCAGGGAAGTGTCTGTGAGATGCTCTAGAAGTGAAAGACCTTTTGGAATCTTTCTTTCTGTCCCTCACCCCTTCCTCTCCTCTCCTCCCCCCCTCCTCACTTCTCCTCCCCCACTGAGGCTTGCTGCCTGTCTAACTTGCATTAATGTACCCCCCCCCCCCCCCCCCCCCCCCCAAACGTATATATTCACCATCATTGTTTATCTAAACATTCTAACACTTCTAATTAAAAAAATAGTAATTTTACCATACTTTTTTTTGTGGTGATTTAATGTAATATTGTCAGCTGAGCAACTTTGAATATTTATACATTGTGTGTATATATATATATATATATATTTTTTTTGACGATAGGTTGGGGGGAGGGGATAGGACTCTTTCGGTTGTGAGGGACATTTTTTTAGTTTTATTAAACGTTTTCTGTGTTGAATGTTCTGTGTTGAATGTATGGTTCACAGGACCATTACTATGGCACGATTGGGGAGAAGAACAATGTTTTAAAGTTAAAGTTCCAAGGGTGCTTTGGGACCCCATAAAGTTGTCTTTACAATATCCCAATTTATATGTATTTATGGACATCGGGGCATTAGTTTGGCCATTTTTATTTGGTTAGCACGTGTACAATGATCTTAGCACTAAAGAGGGTCTGTATGGTTTAAGGAAACTTCCCAGTAAATGTAACACACAAAACAACAGTTTTAACCTTCTGTCTCTCTTGTTCTGACGAGAATATATATATTTTTAAATTTTTATTTTTTAAGTAATTGCACTTTTATCACCCTGTTTGATTTGTTTTTAAACCTTTTATTCCACGTTTTAAATAGTTTATAGTGTCACCTTATCTCTTCAATCAGTGCTTCTCAACCCTGGTCCTGGGGACCCAAAGGGGTGCACATTGTAGTTTTTTTTTGACTTGGCACTACACAGCTGATTTTAAAATGATCAACTCATCATCAAGCTTTGATGATTTGAATCAGGTGTGTAGTGCTAAGGCAAAAACTGAAATGGGTCCCCAGGACCAGGATTGAGAACCACTGTATTAGATAGCTACATGACTCCACTACGTTCTAGAATACGGCCAGATAATTCTACTGTAGAACACTATAAGTTCTAGAATACGGCCAGTGGTTCTATGTAAAACTTTAGAGGGGGTATATAGGCCTTCATGTTCACGTGCTGAAGAGTTCCATTGACGTTGTGTGCATGTGCATGTATCAAATAAGATCTAAATGAAACATAAAGACAGAACCAGAAGGTTGCTCTTGGCTCGCTAACGCTGTTAGCCAGTTTCCTACCCGGGAGACTCAACCTGGGGGCTTATTCAGTTTAGCCTGGAGGGCTAGTTTCAGCTCTCTCCACACACACACACACACACACACACACACACACACACACACACACACACACACACACACACACACACACACACACACACACTTTTCAGGCTCACACTGTAGACCATGTGGCAACTTTTCTCCCTTTCCTCCACTCAGGCCTTCTGTAAGGCTGTTGACTACCATCCTTTCTTACATCCACCCCTTAATCCCTCTATCCCTCCATCCCTCCACCCCTCCACCCCTTAATCCCTCCATCCCTCCATCCCTCCACCCCTTAATCCCTCCATCCCTCCATCCCTCCACCCCTTAATCCCTCCATCCCTCCATCCCTCCACCCCTTAATCCCTCCATCCCTCCATCCCTCCACCCCTTAATCCCTCCATCCCTCCATCCCTCCACCCCTTAATCCCATCCCTCCATCCCTCCACCCTTAATCCCTCCACCCCTTAATCCCCATCCCTCCCTCCATCCCTCCACCCCCCTTAATCCCTCCATCCCTCCATCCCTCCACCCCTTAATCCCTCCATCCCCCCATCCCTCCACCCTTACTCCCTCCATCCCTCCATCCCCCCACCCCTCCACCCCTCAATCTCTACACCCCTCCACCCCTCCATCTCTACACCCCTCTATCCCTCCATCCCTCCATCCCTCCATCTCTCCACCCCTCTATCTCTCCATCTCTCCATCTCTACACCCCTCCATCTCTCCACCCCTCTATCTCTCCATCTCTACACCCCTCCATCTCTACACCCCTCCATCTCTCCATCTCTCCACCCCTCCATCTCTCTATCCCTCCATCTCTACACCCCTCCACCCCTCTATCTCTCCACCCCTCCATCTCTACACCCCTCTATCTCTCCACCCCTCCATCTCTCCACCCCTCCATCTCCAAACACCCCTCCATCCCTCCATCTCTCCATCCCTCTATCCCTCCATCCCTCCATCTCTCCATCCCCCTCCACCCCTCCATCCCTCCATCTCTCCATCCTCTATCCCTCCATCCCTCCATCCCTCCATCTCTCCATCCCTCCACCCCCCATCCCCTCCACTCTCCATCCCTCCATCCCTCCATCCTCCACCCCTCCATCTCTACCACCCCTCCATCTCTACTCTAACAACCCCTCCATCTCTAACCCCTCCATCTCTCCCACCCCTCCATCTCTCCACCCCTCCATCTCTTCCACCCCTCCACCCCTCCACCTCTACACCCCTCCATCTCTCCACCCCTCCACCCCTCCACCCCTCCATCTCTCCACCCCCTCCACCCCTCCATCTC